GGGTCAGGAGAGGTCTGCCTCACCATGTGGATCTCCTCCGGGGCAGGCTGGGATCTAACTCATGCGGAAGTGGCTTAAGCTTCTTAGTGCTGTGCTTCACTCCGCTGCGCCACCAGGGAGGGCCTGATTTGGTTAATTTTTAATAAGTCATATTCATTCACAATCCTCTAGACACCTCAGCCAACAAAAAGAGGTAGCACAATAGAGTGTCTGAGAGCCTAGGCTGTGTGCGGAACAGCAGAGCTCAAGTCCTGGTTCCACCATTTGCAACCTGACTTGAAAGCAGTAATTTGGCCTGTAGACTTGTTCCCCTATCTGTAAGATAGGTTTCCTAACAGTGTCTCACTCAGGGGCATGGTAAAAACCAAAGGAAATATTGTATATATAAAACCGAGGACATAGTAAGTACCTAATAATCATTGCTAGTTATGATAAGGTTATCTCTTTTTCTTTTCTGGTGAGAATCTGAGTATATTAAAACACTTTCTTTTTCCATGACCAGGAAATCCAATTTTTCAGACACTGTGTCTTGAGAAAGAATACATGAAAAGTCTGAACTCCTGGATTTCAGTGCTGGTTCTACTATATCCAAGTTTATAACATTATATAAGTTATCTACTTATCCTGTTCTGGCTTTTCTACATAAATAAAGCATGAATAGCAAGGAAACATCTAGCACAAAAGCCTAGCATGTGGTAAAGTTTCAGCAAATGTTACTATAATTGACATTATTAGTGCAAATAATAGTCTCTGACCTACGTATCACTCCATTTTGTGGCAAAATCAAAAGATAAAATAGCTATGAGATGTTTTGTCATACCATAGGCTTGACATAGGCATGAGAGATTAGTACTATCATATCATTACTATTATTTTTCATTTTGTATCTATAGTAAACTGTTATTTCACAAGAATAAGCCATTAACAGTCAACTTCTGTTGTTTTATTTTAGAGAATATTACTGTTTGCAATTACACTCTACAAACTTTACAAGAAGGGAACAGATTTTTTTCAGGCTTTGCTGCTCAACCCAGAAGGTACTGCTCTCCCCATTCAAGACAATAATAATGTCTTCCTGTCCTTGGGTCTACAAGAAAAAATTTTGAAAAAACTTCAGACGGTAGAAAACAAAGTGAAGGACCTGGAGGGAATGATTATTTCCCAAAAACCTACCATGAAGAGGGACTGCTCCTCTGAGCCCTACTGCAGCTGCTCCGACTGCCAGAGTCCCTTGCACACATCCGGGTTCACATCCACATCAGAAATGTAATGGATGCCAAGCTTTTCCAGAAAGTACTGTTTTCCTCATGTGTGTGGTAGTGTATCAATAAAAGTAGAGAACTATATTGAAATTATTCTACAAGAGTGACTGTATTCACTAGGGCTCAGCTTCTCTCTATTAGTGTGGTGGGCTAATGTGGGTTATGGTGGCAATTTAAAATGTCTTTTAAGTTTGTGGTGTCAACTGGGCAGCCTGGAGACCCTACGCAGACATTTGGGAAAGGATAGCCAGCTGGAGCCCACAGAAGTGAGTGAACCCAGCATGTGGCCTTGACTGCATGCTAAAAATTGGATAGAGTTAGGACAGCAAGAAAGTGCTGTTTATGGGTGATGATGCCCACTGAAGTAGGCTGGCCCTTGTGCTGGTTTTGGTCTACAGCGAAATATGTGGCCAGGAAGTCTTCCTATGATACTTACGAGGTTGGCAAGTGTGGGAGTAGTCATATAGGAGACTAATTTTACACAACTTTTACTAATACTCTGCTTTAAGCATTGTTACAACCTTGTAGTCTTTGCTGAGTACTTCGGGAGCTCTCAATTGGACCGGGAATTTCAGAACAAGGAGTTGTGATACTGTTACAGCAATTTCCCAGAGAAATCGGATGGCACTGAGAGAGGTGGAGAGAGAGAGATGTACTTGTCACACTAGCAGGCTCAGTGGAATCATTCCCAAAAGGCTGAGCCCTGAATTACAGGAATGGTAAGATTTTACACAGGTTGTATGCGGAACCTTGTCATCCCATCTGTCATATTGTAAGCACACTTTATTGTTTGGGAAGGAGGTTAACGTAGCGATAGCTACTACTGTGGACAAGCAGCACACTGCAGGAACTTTCTGCTCCAGCAAGAAGCAAAATCCTAGCAATAGACTCCCCCAAAGCAGCAGGCCTGGGAAAGTAGCAGAATCTAAGCAGCATAATTGGGAAACTTCCTGCTTCAATACAGCAGGTCACATCATCTTGAATTTAGGTAAGTTCTCCTTACATGAATCACAGTTTGGTGGGGAGGGTAGAAAACACATACCTGCCTCTCTGGAGACTCCACTGAAGTATACTGATGAGAAAGAGCCTCCTGGAGAGGTGACTGTCAGAGTCGCTCCGATTTCACAAGCCTTATATTGTGTGCATTAAAAAAAGATTTATGCATATGGAACAGGGATGTAGGCCTGAGCTGCAGGGCATGAGACGATTCACCAGAGACAAAGTGGGAACAGAACAGGTGGATACCCAGGGATTGAACTCAGGCCACTGTGGCTGGCAATAGCTTGATAGCAATGAGATTTTAATCCCTGTGCCATCAGGGAGGTTTTAGTGTGAACATGTCTTTTTTTTTTTTTGCCATAGCAAAGATTAGTCATTGAGACCCTTTATACCCATCGATCTCTTAAAGGCTTCATTGGATGTGCAAATAATGTTTTATTATCTTACTGGAGAAAAACTGGCTATGCTGTTCCTCAGAAGATGATAGAGCAGTCTCCTTTCTAAGGGATTTCTCAGGGTCATTTCAATCTTTATGCAGTACACTATCGCTGAAATACAACCCCTTTGTACAATGAAACTACACTGTGTAGTGTTTATAATCCATACAAAAACATGTGCAGGGCCAGGCTTAGCAGAGAGTAAGCTGTCGTATGAAGGATTACACTGGCAGACAATTGAAATGTAATGTATCTCTGAAGGTGGGGTGAATCGTGCATCATGGAGACATAAAAAGGAGTGGCTTGCTTAGGGAACAAGAAGTTCCAGGGTGACTGAAACACTGGTTATTTCTAGAACTACAGTGAAAGATTTTAGCTTTAGGGCAAGTCACACTAATCTCATCCCTAAATCAGCTTTAATTCATGATGCATTAAAGAACAGATGGGAGTTATCAACACTGTGCTTTATGACAGTGTAGATGAGAAATTTGTTAACTATGTTGCTAGAGGAGTGCTATGAAATATCTTTTAAAAATGTCTTTCAGTATTTTCCTGTATCATCTCATCTCGTCTGAGTTACTGCTCTGGGGTAATAGCAAAGGAAAATATTAAAAAGAAGGGTCTAGAAAAGTTGACTGCTATAGTGAAGACCTTAAAGGTCATACCATATTGTTGGAAATTGACCATTGTAGGTTTTTACACAGAGGAGCTACATGCATTTGGTAGGTTTTGTGGGAGACATAAAATAGAAGCAGATGAGGGTCCTCCCTGGTGGCGCAGCGGGTTAGAGCACAGCACAGAGAAGCTTAAACCACTTCCGCATGAGTTCGATTCCCGCCTGCCTCGGAGGTGATCCACATGGCGGGGCAGACCTCTCCTGACCCGCCCGCTACTCCCCTCAGCAGTGTACTTCGTCAATCTGCCTGTTCTGCTCCCCACTCTGCCTCTGGTGAATCCTCTCACCCTCCGCATCTCTGACCTGTACCCCAGTTCTGTACGAATAAATAAATAAATCTTAAAAAAAAATAGAAGCAGATGCAAAAGACTAAATAGTCTGGTTGCTTCTGGTGAGATGCATGGTATGGTAGAAGCTGATATCATTTTTGGCTCTCAGCTCCCCAGAACGGATGTGTGATTCACTCTACAGTCATAGAGGGTTGATACCAAATATTCCTTCCTGGTATGTGTGTGGGTTCATTTTTTCCTTGATATCAGAACACTCACATTTGGGGCATCAAGTAAGGGATCATGGATAGTTGGTACTCAAAGAACCAAGGCAAGAAAGGGTTTAAAAGCTGTTTGTCACTCAGGTTATGTGGGGTAAATTAATCAGCCTAAAAGTGTCCACCACTCTAGGAAGGAGAATGCTTAGTCTCCAAATTCATTCTTTTTCCTTTGACAAAACTGTAAAAATTGTCTGTTTTGGTGTCCACTTCAGACGTCACACAAACCAGCCCTTCTATGAGCATTGTCTTCTGTAAAGGGGAGCAAGTAATTACTCACTTTTCATATTCATCTTTTTCTACAACTACACCCTAGTCCTATCTACCATCATTTTCCACCTAGATTCTTTTTCTTTGTTCTTTTTTATATATAAAAATTTTAATATATTAACCCTCCTGTGGAAAAATTGTACAATAACCACAGATAAAGTCACTGCAGAATCCCTATTCTTCTGTCCAACCTCCAGTTCACTTTTTTCCAGCATCAACAGTGGCCTTGCAGCCAGATAGTTCATTCATGATGGATCTTCCTCAATATTCAGGAATGCAGGCAGCAAGGGAGTAAAAGCCTCACCGGATTCTTGGCATGGCCTCTAACTGCACTCTCTACTTCCATCTCTATCCCATTCTACTTATTCTCTATACAACAGTCCAGGACATCCTCTTTGCTTCTCGCAGCTCAAAATCTTCCATTGGTTTATTCTTTGACTGAGTGGTACAAGGGGTTAAGTCTAGTTATCCACAGCCACTGCAGCACAAATTTGATCCCCGGCCAGGGAGCGTACCCACAAGGCAGAGCAGACTTCTGTCTTGCCTGCTGCTGCCCACAGTAATTTATTTCAGCAGATCCACCTGTTCTGCACCCCACTCTGTCTCTGGTCAATCTTCTTACCCTCCTGAACCTCTGGCCTACACCTCAGCTATTTTTTAACTAAATCTTTTTTTAAAAAATACACTTTTGAGGCCCTCCCTGGTGGCGCAGCGGGTTAAAGCACTGCACTGAGAAGCTGAAACCACTTCCGCATGAGTTCGATTCCCGCCTGCCCCGGAGATGACCACATGG